GTCTCAGCTTTAAATATAAGGGGCATGGGAAACAGAGGAGGAATCCCTAAATGAGTCAGTAAGTCAGGGAAATGAAATGTATTATGTTTATATAAGATTTATTTTGAGGGTGGGTGGAATGACATCTATTTGATATTCACAGTATGTCAGAGTGGTTAGGCCCCGCAACATTGCATAGGAGTCAGAGGTTGGTGGGAAGAGACCCTGCCCCCCAAGCCCCCCACACGGATGCACCTCTGCACTGTGTTATTGATTGGTCTTGCCAAGGGTCCAGAAGTCGAGAGGCTGGTACATGGAGTGATCAAGATGCAGAGCTGCGTTTCCTGGCCTCTAGCTCCTGTGGCAGGTAGGATCTTGCCAGAGCTGAGAGAATGAGAGTTCTTGCTATACGTCTTCTGTTTGGGCTCACATCATTATCCTGAAGGAATTTCACTAATCAAGTCTGAGGTCCAAATTGAGGGAATGCTTCTAGACTTTGAGCTCTCCTCATTCTTGAAAAAATTCAGCATCCTCATTCAAGAGAGAAAGCAGAGTCAGTGCCGAGATCTCCAAAGAGGATCTCTGTTTCCGAGAAAAGCTGGGCTCCTGAAGGTTCTTTACTCAAAACCACTGGGTGAATAGCTGCCATTTTGCACAGTGTGGAGATGAGGTAGCTGGGACTCAGAGAGGTTAATTAACCTGCTCACGATTTCACAAGAAAAAAGGTGGATATCTGAAACTTGAATCCAGGTTTGGTTTATTCTAAGGTGTTCTTTCTTCTGCTTGACTCTAGGCTAAAAACTCAGGTGTGTAATTTTTGACAGTTACTGTAATCTCAGAGTTCCAAGATAATTTTTAAAAAGCTCTGAACTTCATTTGTAAATATGGTTTAATAAATTATTACATCCAAATACAGGAAAAACCCAAAGAAAGAAAATACTTTGGCATTATTTTCTTTAGATATATAATAGACACGCATTTAATTTTCCTCTATCACCTCAGTAACAGATCATTCTAATTCATAATGAATCCATATGATTTGGACATGTTTACAAAAAGTTTCCCTCTATTAGTATATAACACAAAATGCATCAGTCTTTGGTGGATTTTTTCACTGACTCCTGATACTTGACATGTAAAATAAGTCATACTCAACATAGTTTGAGCTGGTTATTCAGTATCACATCTTTTAATACAAGATGCATGTCAAGATGATTTTTCAATCAGATATAATAATCCTTACTATAATTTTGAGGTTATAGGGAGAAAACAAGACAACAGTGTATTTTGGGAGTAATATAAAAGTTTTCAACAAATGATTCCACTACCAGCGATTTAAAAAAAATTACTATTAATGTGTCAATGTATCTGAAATTTAAATTGTTAGAATATATAAAAGAATACGATGTTTTGGCAAAAATTTCACATTATCTAATATAATTTACTTTCAAATAATGACCATTTGTGCTTGAGGTAGAGCCATGGGCTTCTCAAAAATGGAGTTTTGTAGATTTTGGCTTTTGCCTGTTAATGTGAGCGAAGCAGAATTTAAGAACTGAAGAAGTACTTAAAGTAGTGGAGCAAAGAAAATGCATGGTTTATGCATTCGTCATTCTTTGTAGGATCATATGGATTTAAAAAGGAAACTTTTAGCAAAGGATCTGAGGAAGTGAAAAGGATTAAAAACTTCCCAGTCCTATTGGCAAAACTTTTGCCAATCTGTGTTTTCTGTCTTAGTTTCTGTGATATTTATTATTATCAATGAGTTCTACTCCATAGATCGTTAATATAAGTCATCTTCCTGGGTTCTGAAAAACTCTGGCTGACTTTCCTGCCTTTTCAGGCTTTGCTGTGTGTATCTCTCAGTGTGGAAAAATTATCTTTGATTGCTACTGAAAGAGATGCTTGTCAGAGGATTGAGCAAGAAGAACTCGAGGGCCTTGTGGCTGAGATCTTAAACCAAAAAGGAGCAACCCTTGAGTTGATGTAACCAACACATGGGCATTTTAATCTTAAGAATTTATTCAACAGCAAAAAATTTTAATCCAAAGTTATAATTTTTTTCTAGTTTCAGAAGTGGTAAAGCAAAAGCCCCTCAGTAAAAAGAAGGTTCCTGGAGGAGAGGAGAGACCGCCACATAACTTTTCAGTTTAATCCTGGTTCTTTGATGGCGCCGTCAGTACAGACAGCTCGGACGGGTGTGGGTGAGAGGGTCCTGTGTTGGTAGAAGCTCAGCTTCCCATAGATGTCGTGCAGCAGGGATTTAGTTCGAGCTTAAGCAACATTGATAATTGAATTACTTTAACCAACACTTGGGATTATTTTGTGGACTTATTAATATCTTAAAAATCCTTTCTTACTAGGGAGAACTTAAGATTTTACAGGTATGAGATATAAAGCTATGTAAACTAAGCTGTTTGTTTAGCCTGTCCAAAGGAATAAAATAAGGACGTACAAAGAAAATTAATGTAGACCTCACCTATGTTCCAGGCGCTGAGGTGATGTTTAACCATATGATGATGAAAGGACCATGAATACTCTTGTTGCTTTTGGTAAAATTCAAGCCAGGTATAAAAAGCTATGTACAGAAAATTTGTTTCTCTAAATTGTTTTCAGAAGGTGATTAGTGCTTACCTGCCAGGCATTGGAAAAAAAGAGTGATAAAAATGTTTTGTCTACCAGTCCTTCTGCACTCATTACATATCCCAGCACATCACACATTTCTGTTTGCCAGCAGGATTGTCTCTGGAGCTTTTGAATAAAAATATTAGTAGGAGATTGTTGGTCCCAAAGATGGGCAGTCACACAGGTGTACAGATACCTTCTTCGCAGAATGTAATCAAGAATAAGCAATTGCTCTGCACAGAGGAGCTTCCATACAGAAAAGTCTCGACTACTCAGGAGTCTTGTAGACATTTCCCCAATGGCCTGCAATGGGGCCAGCTTTTTTCCTAGTTAGAAAAAATGTTGGTGAAAGCTACTCAGTAATGAAAAGGAATGGACTATTGATATGTGCAATAACATGAGTGAATCTTAAAATAATTATGCTAAGTAATAATAAATAAAGAATAAATAAATGAAGCCAGACAAAAAAAGAGTACATTCTGTATGGTTCCATTTTTATAAAATTGGAAATGCAAAGTCAACTATAGTGACAGAAAGGGGATTAATGGTTACCTGAGGATATGGGGGGTGAGAAGAGGTACAGGTGATGGACAGATGGGTAGGATTACAAAAGGGCACGAGGAAACTTTTGGGGGTGATGGATATGTTCATTATATTGATTGTAGTGATAGTTTCATGGATGTATACATACGTCAACATTTATCAAATTGTACACTATTTTTGTACAGTTTAATGTTTGTTATACCACACGTATATTAAAAGGGTAAATATTGTATTACTATTGTAAGCAGAAATCAGCTGTCACTTGCCGTACACAGCAAGTAACTAGGAAAATAAGTGCAAGTAAAACAGAACAATGAAAGAAAAACCTACTTTCTCCTATGTAATTTGGGGCATAGGAAAGGCCTTCATGTTTCATAATTCTGTTCCCATCTGATTTTGCTCCTTGAAATATCTTTTTTAATGGGCAGGTATTATGTTTTAATTGTTAGGAGCAGGAGTTTAGGAGTTTGGTAGACCTGGGTTTAGCCTAGTCATCTGCTAGCTGTATGCCTTTGGGTAAAACACTCATCCTTTCTAATAGTCTTTTTCCCTATATGTGAAGTGGGATGATAGAGGCATAGTATGTATTCAATAAACGGAAGCCATTTTTATTATTATTTTTATTCATTTCCACAAGGTTTAAAATGGAGATATTCTTGGGCGAGAAAACAATATTTTAAATTCATAGAGGGACATTTTACCATGGAAAATCAGAATCAGGAGTGTTGCCTGAAAGAAGAGGAGAAAGATCATTACAGGAAGTGAAAGAAACACAGGGAGGGGACTGGTAGATGATTGTCTAATGCCTGCGTTTTGTGCGTTCCTCACAGTGGGCATCTAGCTACTAGGTGACATTCTCATCTGGTTTCTCTTTAGTGACCTCTGCTCTCAGGCTTTAATTGTTTTGGATTCGTTAGTCTTTTCCTTTGTTAAATAGTAATATCATTGTTCATGAGTGCCATATTTACAATTGCCTATTGAGAAATTCACTCTGGCATTTAGCATGTACTTTGCTTGTTTAGATTTAAGTATATTTATCATTCATCTGTAGAAAAATTTTGTGGACTTTTTAAATGTTTTGCTTAAATGTAGTTGATAGATCTTATTTTATTTAAATTTATTAGCTCCTGTAAACTTAATTAAAAATTAATACATAGACTTGTGAAAGTGACAGTTGATTAGTTTATCCTAAATTGGTCATAGTATTGATATGTAAGTTTGAAAGACAATGTAGTAAAAATACTTTTTCTTTAACTCTGAGATGTCATTTTCACTTATAGGAACTAGCAAACTTACTTGCTTTTCTGTGTTCTTGACCTAATTTTTTCCCCTGCCAAGGTGGTTGCAGGGATTTGACGGGTGATTGATTTGGTTTTAGAGAGTCCTGGAACTGTACAAAGTGTTTTTCATATTGGAAAAGACATGCCCAGTTTTTTACAAATTTTAAGATTTACTGCCACTGCCTAATGTGTTGCAAATTAATTTGTTTGCTATTTATTTTACTCAGAATGTAGTCATTGATGTCATTAGCTGAAGGGCAGACTTGATCATAAGAAAGAGTAGACTGCCTTTTTTTTTTTTTTTTAAATTTTACTTTTTTCCTTTTTCTCCCCAAAGCCCCCTGGTACATAGTTGTATGTTCTTCGTTGTGGGTCCTTCTAGTTGTGGCATGTGGGACACTGCCTCAGCATGGTTTGATGAGCAGTGCCATGTCCGTGCCCAGGATTCGAACCAACGAAACACTGGGCTGCCTGCAGCACAGCGCGGGAACTCAACCACTTGGCCACGGGGCCAGCCCCAGGGTAGACTGCCTTTTAACGCTATTTGTTTGCTTTTGTTTGGCGTCTTTGCAGGACTGGACATTAGATGGGTAGACTGCTACTTTCCTTTTACTCATCCTTCCTTCGAGATGGAGATCAACTTCCATGGAGAATGGCTAGAAGTTCTTGGCTGTGGTGTGATGGAACAACAACTGGTAAATTCAGGTAGAAAAGAATCCAGCACTTTATTTACAGACTCTCTTAAAAAGCACTTTTCTCATTTAACTTGGCTTACATGTGGATTTACGTCCTCCTTTAGGGATAGCCTCACCATCTTTCTCCTGTCATATTGCCCTACAGACTTATCTCTGACACTTAACTCTGGAAGAACTTAATTTCTCCCATCTAATTTTGCAAAGGCTTCTTGTTTGCAGAACTCTTCCTTGTCAGCACTTAGGAGTTGGAGCTGTGCTTCATGATTTTGTATTTGTTGCTGTGTTGCTTTGTAATTGCCCTACACGCATTTGATGCATGTCGCTTGAGTGGTTTGTCTTCCAAACTATTTAAGAGCAAAGCCAATGTATAATCCTTTTTTGTTCTTATTGCATTTAGAATAGTCCCCCAACTTCAGCAGATATTTCATAAATATAATAAAACACAATATAAAAATACTTAGGCCTGTAAGGTTTAGTTGTTGGCCGCCCTCAGTTTTGGCAGAGCCACCTGATTGAGGGGTAAGTGGGAAAATGAGGTCTTTCATTAAATTCTACCTGTATCTATAGGTACTTGAGAAAGATCTTTCTAGGTCTTGTCTGCAGGACCATTGCTTAATAAAAATTATTATTTCTAAACTTAATTGCAGAGTTGTGCGTTTTTTAAAAACTTCTGGATTTAATTTAAAAAATATTTTTTCAGAGTATAAGTTTTTCAGGGGAATTTGGTTGGGATTGGCATTTGAGCAGGGGCTCACTGTATAAGTATTAAGTGGAGGGGAACTGATTTGGATTCTACCGTCCCATAGTCATTCCCTTTCTGCCCCGCTCCTGTGCTCCCATAGAAGGGCATTTGCTCTGTGGCCCTTGAGGGCAGTGCTGGCTCACAGTTGGTTACAGGGGCTCCTGCAGCAGAATGGAGAAGACCAGTCCCTCTTGGTGACTAAAAAATGTGGATAGACCATGGGTAAGGTCATGGGGTTAGAGAATAAGAAAGGAGTGAGACAGAACTGATGAGGTGACAGTGAAGTGCAGGAATTTGTGTTACCTGGGCTGGGAGGCCGGGGGCCTGGCCTCCCTCCTTACTCTCAGGTAACCCTCGTCTGTGGGGCCTGGACTCTGTAGGCTCACAGATTCATTTCCATTCTGGTAAGGAGGGCTTGGGGGAAAACCAAGCACAGTGCCAAATGCTTCTTGGACAGGTCTGTCTTAGAGAAGAGGGAGCACAGAGGTCGCAAATTAGGACCCATGAGTAAAGGTTGTGAGGCCTGGGCTTGGGTGTCTGAAACCCCAAGTTGTTGTCACAGCTCTGTCGATTGAAAGCTGTGTGTCTTCAGGCAAGTTGCTTAACCCCTGTGAGTCTTGGTTTTCTCATAGTTAACCTTAATACCTACCTCTCTCCAAGGTTTCATTATAAGGATTAATCGAGGTGATACATGGAAAGAGCTTAGCACAAGGTCTGGCACGTCATAAACATTCAGTGAAAATTAATTGCTGATGTTTTTCTAAAGATTGGCACTTGAGCTAACATCTGTTGCCAGTCTTCTGTTTTTCTCTTCTTGTTCTTCCCAAAGCCCCCAAGTGCATAGTTGCACACGTTCTAGTTGTGAGTGCATCTGGTTGTGCTATATGGGATGCCACGCCAGCATGGCCTGATGAACGGTGCCATGTCCGTGCCCAGAATCCCACCCAGCGAAACCCCGGACCACTGAAGCCGAGCGCGCAACCCAGCCACTCGGCCCCGGGCTGGCCCCGCTGATGTTGTTTTTGAAAACGTTTTCCAAGTGGTCAGAGCTGTTTATCAACAGAGAGTCCCCATAATAGGAAATATTTAAACAAGGCTGTCCTGCATGTCATAGGAACAATCTCTGACTAGTTGGAACTATATTACTTCTTTGATCTTAGTTGTCTCTGTATCCATAATTCTAGATTGAGTGATTGATTTTAGAAAGAAAAAGAAAATCAAGAGTAAAAAGAAACAGAAAAATCAGGGCTAAGAGTGTATATGGATCTTAAGAGAAACACAAAATACTGAAAGCAGATATGTAAGATTTAATCTTTTCTTGAGTAGGAGCCAACTTCAAATACCTTTGTGGTGTTTCTGTGTGTTTTGTTTTGTTTTTTAGACAAAAGATTTGAAGGAATCCTAGGCTTCCTCCAGGAGTGCTGGTGTCAGGAGGCCAGAATTAGGAAAGCAGATCAGAGGATGAGCAGCTTACTTTTTGGTTGCCACTTGGGATTGTGCTTCCTTGTATGTGTTCCAATTTCCTTGATGGGTTTTTATGAGGTTTATTCACACAGTAATTGGTCTGAATATGGTTATCTGAAACAGGTTTCCAAGTCATTATTGCACATTAATGAGACTGCTGTTTTACAGTTTGATCAGTCATATCGGGTATTCTTGAAGGAAATGGCAAAGTGGAAAAAAGCAAAGAAGTTAAAAAAAAGAAAAGAAGACACCTAAGATGCAAATATGTTTGAGCGAGTCACAGTGGTGGTAGGATGCACTTTAAGCTGTTGAGAAATTGTACACATAAGATTTAAATATCTTGCAAGAGAGTAAGACTAAAGAAAAGGAAGAAGAGACGATTTCATAAAAGAAATTCTGTGTAGGCTTTGCTATTTAAAGTTGAAGTTATTATGACAAGTTCTGCTCTGTGTTCTCAGATGTGAATGTGTTTTGATGTCTGTAATTAAAATTTTTAAACTGTGTGCCTGGCAGTCACTAACCACAGATGTTATTTGCAAGTGTAGTTAGTTTTCTGTTGTCTGAGTTCCCGTGACATAGAGAAAGACTATGTACGCTTCGTCCCCTTAGTTCTGTTTTGCCACTCTATCTTTTCTCCTACATTTTCTTCCCTTCACTCCCCTCTCCTATCCACCCCTCCCCCACCTTTTATAATAGAACTTCCAAGAAACAGTAAAATTGGTGGTTGTAAGATTCTCCTTCTTTATAGTTCTTTTAGAGTTGCAGGTAACTGATGAAATAATTGGAAACCAAAGAAGCTCATGGAGCAATGATACTAGCAGACATCAATTGAGCCCTTACTGTATGCCTTCATCTCACCAAATGCTTTAGATGATTTCCTTCATTTAACCTTAGTAACAAGGCTCTGAGGTCGATGCTATTGTTGTTCCATTTTACAGAGCCTGATAAAGGCGATCAGGATCAAATGGCTGCACGGTGGTAGTGCGACTTGCCCAGGTCTTTCCAACAATAGTTAACTACTGTGCTGTGCTACCCAAACAGTAAATTGCATGATTTTGAAGTGGCTAGAAGTTCATTTCAAATAAATTATTGTGTCTAACGTAGAATGAAGAACTGAAACCAAAGGAAACAAACAAGAGCAAAAAGAACTCTGTTCTATAGAAGCCCTAAAGAAGGGCTATGCCAGCATATGTATTATCTCCTATGAAAACGTGCATTTAATTAAAAGTATGAAATTAGATTGATAATTTGAAAAGTTACTAAAAACACTTTGTTACACATTTAAGTTGACTATGGCATGTATGTATTTTTGTGCATGGAATAGCTAAGGCCCTTCCAGATTTTGTGGGCAGAATAAGCTAATATCTTACAGAATTTTACTTTATTTCTTCTTTAAGTTATAATGTCTTCACCGTTGCTTTCAGATTCCTTTCACTTAATAATTGTGATGTGGTTGTGACCGTTGTCATGATGGTTTGATTATTTTTTCCCTTGCGGAGGTGTTTTTTTTTGTTGTTTTTTTCTTTTGAGGAAGATTATCCCTGAGCTAACTGCTGCCAGTCATCCTCTTTTTGCTGAGGAAGACTGGCCCTGAGCTAACATTCGTGACCATCTTCCTCTACTTTATATGTGGGACACCTACCACAGCATGGTGTGCCAAGTGGTGCCATGTCTGCACCCAGGATCCAAACTGGTGAACCCCGGGCCACTGAGAAGCGGAACGTGCGAACTTAACCGCTGCGCCACCAGGCCCGCCGCCATGAGGAGGTGTTTTGAGGAGAGGTGCTGAGTCACATCCCCAGATACTACACACTGATTTCCCATTGGGCTGACTCAGGCTGCTAGTGTCTTTTCAGATAGTGTGTGGGGCACAGACATCTAAAACCATCACCAGGGTGATGATGTGCTGTGATCATGCCAGGAAGGAAATTAGCATTTATTCAGCCCCTGTGAAATTTGGAAGCCAGTACATAGGCCAGGGGGGCGAAAATGCTCTGTAGTGGAAAATAACTTTTTAAAAACAGTATTGCCTTCCTTACCTCTTTGTTAAAATTTAAAAATTGACTCTTTTGGGAAAACCTTGTAAATATGTACATGAACACTTTCCAGTTTTAAACAATCATTTTTTTGTTCATTTGTTTGTGAAATATTTCTTAAATTCCTTCTAACACTGTAGAAAAGTGAATAAATATTGTCCTTGCCTTCAAGAATAGCACAGCACACACAGACATAAACATAGATGATTACAGTACCACATGGTAAGTGTTTATAACAGAAGTACAGTGGGCAGAATAGGGAGGAGGGAGGAGTTGGAGAAGATTGTGCCAAGCCCTTGACCTGGTTACATTCAGGATGGAATATTGGTGATGGGGTATTCAAAATGTGCATTCCAGAGTAAGTTAGGTTCCTGTTTGCAAGGGGTTATGTACTTTATCTTTGCTTGGATGCCTAATTGGCATACCTAATGCTTGTTTTCCTATGTAGGTGTAAATCTGTTTCTAGTCTTTTCCTCTCTTGGGTAGCCAGTCTCTTCAGCCTCTGTACACACTTACACCATTCAGTGTTACTGATCTAAGTTGGTGAACTCTTAGATGGCATGGACCAAGACTACACCAGTATGGTGTTATATACAAGCAGACAGGCTGTTCATATAGTTAGCATCTTTTGTGTGTAGGGCACTATGCTAGACAAAGAGGAGGATACAAAAATTGGTAAGATGTGACTTCTCTCTGTAAAACTTGGAGTACAGTAGAGAAGATAAGTCTGTGTAATTAGAGCGTGGTAGCATAAGTGCCATTCATGAG